GCTTTTTCTCCAAAAGTGCTACTTACTCATCAGACATCCAATGCCTCGATGGAACTGCCAATTCAGATCCACTTGCAACCTTCGCTGCGGACGGCATTACTCGTCTAATCTGATCCTATTGCTCATCTACACTTCCACTCCGCAGCACGTTTAGCTCTTCCCCTAGTTCTGATGCAACACGAGCGTGAATGGCTGGGACAGATAAGCGATGATCTGACAATCGAGTTTGGTGGTATTTTCTGCGACGAGTGAGTTCGAGGGTGAACTGCATCAAAACTAACGCATGATCAGATTCAACGCAGGTGTTCCAATAGNTACTGAACCACACCAACGGTGGCCTCATGCTATGTGGTCGATCTGAGTTAGCGTGCCAGTTGAATTTGAGCGCCACGTTGCTGTCCGTTGTGAGCTGTGTCGGAAGTTGGTGCTGAATAGGAACAGATGATGATCTGCTTAGAACTGAAGAAGTCGATCGCCATTATCTGTTCGCTGGCAGGGCAGAGCAGAATGACCGCCTAGGCAAGCTTCCGATGCGCTCAGTTTTCCAACTTGAGCGTAGAAATCACCTACGTGTACAACTATATTGGAGAATCGGCTAAACCGAATGAGTTTGTTGATTTTAACATAAAACTCGTCCTGTTATGCCTTGGAACTGCAGTTGGTCGGTGAATACGCTGAAATCATGAACAAACACCTTTTAGTGTTGCTTCCCTTCAGGGCGATGATAGACCGTTGGAGCCGCATAGCACTAAGCGACTGTTGACCGGAATCCACTCGACTATTAACGGTTCGGCTGTGTGTGTAGTACAATGCCCGCACCACGCTGGCCTACGAAACAGGCTTCGTCATCACCTGACAGGAAGGCGAGCATTGAGTGAAAGTATCATTCGGTGCCTGCTTTCTCAAAAAATCTAATCTGAGCTGCAGATATTCTCATAATAACCTTATTCGCAACATCGGGTGATTTTTGAATATACATCTGTTTCAGAGCCAGTCCATTGTAGGATCAATACGATGAGTTCATGTTTGGTAGGTGCGTTAGACGCTACTAATCGCAACCAACGTGACTTGAACGTCTTTATAGAATATTTCATACTAAGTATTATATGATTGACTAAAAAAAATTTCCCTTGAAGCACACCGCTGGTTTCGCGGGTATTGCCTCTCGTCAGACATTCGTATCCAGTAATCTTTTATCAGTTAATTCATATACTTGTACCCAGGAGGTGTATTTTCCTCACACTGGAGCATGCCGGTGATAATGCCTTACTCGGTGACAATAGACCGACGATTCAAGAGTCGTTGAATCGTTTGGCAATTGAGATTACTCGCTATAATGTAATTCGCACCTTCAAAGTGCAATTTGTTGTTGCAAGATTGGCAGGAATGCGTTCCTGCACTTTCGTGGGTAATGACAATCTGGTAGTTGTCGAAAGCTTTGTCTACCTCGGGGGTTGCGTAGTGGCTGGCGAAGATGTGGGTGAGAAGATCTGTCAACGCGTGATCGAACTAGATTAGCGTTTGGTAATCTGTGGCACTGAGAGAGATCATATTCAAAAAGTGTTGTCCTCACAACGTCGCCCGCGTATAAGAGCATCGCGTGAATAACGTTGAGATCAGATGGTCTTCGGTTGAGCAAAACAATTTCACTTCATCATCTTCGGTGGTTGGGGCACGTCCTACGAATTCTTGAGTAACGTCTGCCATACCGTGCATTATTTACAGAAGTCGATCCAGGCTGGAGGAAACGGCAGGGTTTGCAGGCTATAACGTGACGTAGTGGGTTAAAGAAATCGTGTTCGGATCTGGCTTCCGTCGGGGCCTTCCGGCTCCCCGAGTCAAAAACTAAAACAAAGTTATTCAGAATGGCGTGCAACAAAAAAATTGTTATTTCCAAAGTTGACTGTTTTTTGTTCGCTACCCATCGATGCTCAATGGACCCGGTGACCACTGCTGCAACCAACGTAGAGGTGAGTATGTTTCGTACGCCTCCTTGGTTGGTTTGGAATCAAAGTTTTTAGCCAGATTTCTTAGATTAACTACCAGTGGTTCACCGATCCGCTTATACCTTCGATTGTTGGCTTTTTGTTTCCTCACTTTAGTGGGGAAACCCTTTTGATACGGGAATACTGCGGGTAAGGCTTTGTCCGCAGTGGTTACTTGAGGCGCTTGATCGTATGGGTGCATTTCGTGAGGTGCAACGGAGACACCCAACGATCATCATACTGAGGCTTTCGGAGGCCGATTCAGTTCTACACTAAGACCTTATCTCGTAGTAAATGCAGTGACTGTGCTCATATCCAGTACGAAGTCATGATGCTTACTTTGATACACGCGATAGTAGCTGCGCCTGTCGTCCACACAATCAAACGGGCCTGCTCTGATTGTATTTCATTCAGAAACCTGAGGGCATCAACGAGTCCGCTTTGGGAATTTTAGTGCATCTCTCCGATCAAATCATCATGAAAGCACAGATGCTAAACAAGCTTGTTTTCGGTGTTTCATCGCTTGATTCATTACACCACATTGTACCGGTACGCAAAATGGAGTGCCAGAAAATGGATAATAATAATAATAATAATAATAATAATAATAATGACATTAATTAGAGTAAGAATACTGCTGCTATAACTCCACAAGGTCATTGCCGGACTGAGGAAAGCTGTTTGCTACTAGCATAATTCTAGTTCAGTGCTTCCCAATCATATGGTTGATTATCAGAGGGAAGGACTACGCCTGAACCTAAAGTCGCAGTCATGTTCAGCCCAAAACAATGTCATCTATCCCACAGAATGATTCACAAGTAACTGTGACTTTAATGTGAATGAACGATAATTGTTAGATGTTTGATTTTAGCTGAATGCTGAGGTTAATTGTTGTCATTACCTTTTTGTGTGTTGTGTGTATATTCGAAACATTTACCATAGGTGGATTGGAACTGTGTCGCAGAACCATACGTCATTCCGATCCTTGTCGTTTCCGAGTGAAAAACACTAGGGTCCCATTCATCGTCAGTCTGTCTTTTGTCTGTTGAAAAAATCTCCGGTTGAACTGAACAAAACATAATATTTTTCAACGCATCAATTGTCTCTTTTAACCAACTCACTTTTTCGACTTTGTGATTCTGAAACGGCAGAAGCGATGGCTGTTGAACCAGCCAGCCAGCCAGTCAACCACTCCTCGCCTCCGGCTTATAAGCAATTCATCAATTCCATAAATTTGCCCGGCTATCAACGCATGGTCCTGTGACGTAACTAATTCACTTCTCTCAAATGATTTGCATACAAATAATACCAGACTGTGGAAAACAGTTAGCCGCACATCATTCGTAGGTTGTGAGACCCCCAACAAATATTGTTCATTGGCCAGTCGATTACTCACCGAAAACAAGCTTGTTTGCTCGTTTGTCACCTTTGAAACGTCAGTGACTTGGCTCATACTAGGCCTACTTTAGCACAAAGTCCTAATCCACCCTCGTATGAAATACAAATTGTTTATTCGTTTAGATTTGTTGCCGTTCGCATATAGTTTATTTCATTGCGTTTCATCTTGAGAAGAGTAAAACCCCCAATGGAATTCACTTCCACCTTGGGTTTTTCTTGTCACAATCCAAATATTGATTATCTTTTAAACTGCATCTTACACTCTTATCAGAAGCATCTTTTTATTCATATTTTCATTAGAATAATTTTTATCGGAATTTCAATAATTCTATTTTCCATCAAACATATCATGTTCTATCGTTTCAGGTGTTGTGTGACTGACGAAGAAGTTTTGAGCTTAACTATTTATGGTTAGCCACGGTTGTCTACAGCCAGTGATTTTTTCCAGTGAAGTAAATGGTAGCTTTCAAAGTTGACCTAGTCAACAAAAGTGGAAAAAGCTTTAAAACTCATCTTGTCCAGATCCACTAGCACTGCGATCTTTACATTCATGGTCCGCATAGAATTATGTAATCACGTTTTCTCTACTCACGAGTAGTACTATCTAAATACGTTTTTATTTATCGAACATCAACGCATATAACGATATACTCTGCATCGTGTGTTATCTTGAAAAGGCGAAGTCTGGGCTAACCAAGTGTCACAAGAGCAGCTGGACTAATCTGGGTCTGGGTGATTAACAAGGGTGTGGGGAGAAAAACATGTGTCCAAAATCGAGGTTAAAGTTATCGCTCATCCCAGGTGAACCTAGGGAACACGTGCTGCATTAGGACAAAACGACGAGTTCATGCACTATTGAATGAGCTGGTATGCGCTATAGACCGGTGGGATAAAACTCTGTCAGCCACAATGCGATTCAATCAACTACAGCTCGCTGCATATATGTTGATTCCTACACTTTTGTTCTTACAGGAAGGGTAATAAAAAATTACTAATAATTGTCGGAAAGGTTTTGCTCTACAATCCCGAAACGGAATGCGGTTAAACGTGAAATCGAAGTAGTAATATACGTAACAAGTGAGACTACATCAGTTGTTCGCATTTTTGAGTCACATGAAGGTAACTGGTGTCATAAAGGATGTCCACTGCTATGCTGTTCAAAGATGTGATTCCTGATCTGTTTCGGTCGGCAGCCCAACAAATTTGGAGGGAAAGGGGGATCGCATCATGCTCACTGGAATACGATTAGTCTCAGCAAAGTACGAAATGTCTACACTCTTAATGGATGTCGTTCAACTGGTTCTCGACCACGCCTGGTCAGAGTACCAAACTTGTGCTCTGTTTATTGCGAAGGCGTTAACCAGTGAAATCTACCTAAGACCACTGAAGTAGAAACATTGCTTTGACCGATCGTAATTTCAAGGATAATTTACGACATTGTGTTCATGTTCCATTGAATTGAATTGTGTCGTTTTTCCTAGTTCGTAACACTGTTGATTTATTCCCTGCATTTGAACCTCCTTGCAGCGTGCTGACACAAAAGATCATACTGCATCACCACCCCGTGTCACGACACTGATATCAACTATCTATAATTTTGTTTTCCTAATTTTTCTTATTTAGGCCATCAGTGGCTATCACGTATGGCTCTACCACGCCCTGATCATCCCACCAAGCCCCAAGTCACCATCTTTCCTTAACCCGAAGGCATCCGATCCACTCGCCGTGTGTAACCAGTTCGCCTCGCAACTGTTACAGTTCGCTCCATGTTTGCATTTGTCCAACCCCATCTCACTGGCTGAATTTAATTTCGCTCACCGACACATGTGCTCTCCGCTACTTCTCAGCCGATCGTTCGACTTGGTACGGTGCGCTCCGTCCACCGAAGCTGCGGATAAAAACGGAGACACATTAACGCAGTCAGAGCCAACGATTCTGGTAATGTTCTTGCTCTCTATGCTTCCTGACTCCTTATCGATAAAACGTTTGCATTGTTTGCGAAGTATATTACCCCTGTCCGTTTTATTATTAGTGGTAACCCCGTGATTTTTTCGGTAAGCGAATTTCGCCTGTCGGAGCTGTCACAGCACTTCGTAGGAGTATCTACTTGTCCTTAGTGTACTAACCGATAAATCGCCATGTGGCCTCTTTCAAAAAACGTTGAAAGTTATACCACACTGTATATGTCAACTCAAAGTAAACTTTATGCACTCGAAGGGTGCATCGTCAATGATTTTCCCCAGTATACAGTGAAAACCGAAAGACAAAAACGAAAGGAGCGTGGACTGACAAAAACAATGACACACTGCGTACAACAAGATAATAATAAGTCTTTTTACCGCTCACTCAGGAGATGTTCAATCATACTTGCAATATTTGATATCCGGCTCACTTAGATAAGGGTGGATACCGTTTTTGTAGATGATGGTGCGTGCAGGAAGAAGCTTTTAATAAGAACGGGTAATGAGGGAAGGTGGAGTGCCGAAACGGGCTTAAAAGGCTTGTGCATGCAATCATCCTCAGTGTTTTGGCTCTCTTTGAAATCCTGTTACACGCGTCGATATACTTTTACACAATAAAGTCAACCAGATTATTTCTGGTTATTTCATCAAATTGGGAATGAAGTTTGGTTGCTGTGGAAGGTAATATGAAATCATTTTCTTTCAAACCGGGGAAAATACTGAATGACAGTACACCCAATAAGGAAGAATGCATGCGATCACAATTTTCAAAATCACACATGTCGAACAGCAAGCTTCCTAAGCCTGAAACCAGAAACGGAAAGTTTAATAACCCTATGGTAAACATTGTCTACACGGCTAGTCCAGGAGAGGTAGTGGGATTGACCGATGCTGAGGTATTTAACAGAATCAACTTTGGTAATATTGTGGTCGTTAACGAAGACTACAGCCAGATTAACAACAACGGTGTGTCCACGTGAGCCGGATTTAAGATTGTAGGGAATACCACCACATTTCAAAACAACTTCCATGAGGAATTAAAGCAAAGACCTACTAAAGATCTCGTTTAGACTGGCTTGAAGTTGGCGGAAAGGTACTTCGTTGCTTGAGGTGCACCCAATCACCACATCTCTCTTATACTTACAGGCAATAAAGTTGGTAGAAACAGGCAGGTTGTTTATTTATAAGGAGAAAAATAAAGGGAAATAAAATGCGCCTTAAAAAAACACCTGAGTTAACTTTAGTAGAATATAAAGTTTTATCATTGCAATTGTGAATTGTGTCCCGAGAGAGAAGAACGTTTATACTTCATCTGGTAGCCAGCGAACTAAATGATGGTATCGATGTTTATTCAATTTGGGTACCTGTAGTAGTTGATAACTGTTGGTTAAAAAATGGGGAACTCATTCCAAGAGAACGAACCACAAACAAATCTAATTAATCGCCTTAAGTCATACTCGCGATGTCCAAATCCAAACGAAATACATCCAGACAACTTTGTTAGCGGTGACAACACCTACTCTTCATATCATGTTTTCAACGCAACCTGACATGAAACCCTAACAGAATTTCAACAGTTTTCACATTCTCTCCTCCATTCCATCTTGTTTTGCACTTGTGGAGCTCTGGGTATTTCCTTTCGAGATCAGCAAAGCGTTATTCTATGGAATTAGGATTCCGTGTCCTATGAGGCTACAGTATTCCGCTGTATTATTGGTTTCTGGAAAACTAGAGATTGTTTTATGCCTTGGTGGTGACCTCAATTGCTCATCCAACATGTGCAGATAGTTGGAATCATCGTCCACCTGCTTCGTCGATGAAAACCAGTTTATGCCTGTCATCAGGCCAAGTAACTCCTTAGACCGCCATAAAATCCCTGCTACTTCGCCATTTTGATACACTGCTTTGTTCGGTGTAGTTGCATGATTTAAATATAAAAATCTGTCTTTCCTAGCTGTAACCTCTCTCTGGATTCTATCATCCATTGTGTTCCACACCAGTAGTCGGTTCGCCAAATAATCCTCATTGATTATCATGCATTCAGATCGCAGCTGTTCAACACTCGTCTTAATGTGCGGTCTGACCTAGGAAAAGCATATTCCTCCTGTCAGTATGACGATCGTTCGAAACGATTACTTCTCATACGTCGAAATAACTCACATATTAGTCATCCGCTTCTTGCGGAAATCCCAGTCAAATGATCACATGCACCGATTTCTTTGCTTCGTTGTAAGCCAATTAGGGAACGTAGCTCTTCTTTTCGATACCCGATTTTCGAATTTATCGTTTTTCCGCATACCGAGTCTGCCAAACAAATTGTTGCTCTCTTGGGTTTATTCCGCATTGAAATGATGCACGAACGTCTACCTAATGCCTGATGTCTTCATATTTTTTAGATGCAAGTCAGCTGACATGCGTGAGTGTAGTTCACGAATACTCATACAAAGACCAACTTAGTATTAGTATGTCATATTTTTGACATCGTGAGCACAGATCCAGGCAACTAGATAGACTTGTATACAAGTTAATCTGATGGAGTAGAGTTCTCGTTTTTACAACAGTTTTTCACAGGCGAACAGTAACTGTTCGTCAGTGTGTTTCCCTCGTTCTGCTGTTTACCATAGAATAATTAGCTCGTCCATGGAAAATTTCTCACATTTTGTCTGCGTACAACAGTAGGTTGTTTCAATCGGGATCCTTCGATCGACTATGACCTGCATAATCTATTCTTATGTGAATAAGTGACTTGATTGTGTTTATTCATTTCCTTACGGGTGATAGTGTGCACCGGTTGTGCGTTATGATGACCCAAATCAATTACCAACGCTTAGGTAACCCGTTTCTATCTGGATAAGAGAACTAGAGTCAAACGTGTCCCTACCCCACCCTTTTCCTATAACTATTTCGCCTCGACTGTTTGACCCCAACACAACACCTTACGGCTATTTTCTTACATAAATGGGTTGGTATTGGCTTGAGATGGAACCCACCAAAAACATATGCTCGTCTACAATGTGTGTGCTGATCTTTTTGAGTGTACTGGTTACAGCCGTATCGATGTTTCCACTACGAACTCTCGGTCTCTATTTGTCTCTTGCTAGTTC